AACCCTGGATTTGAGGGGGGGGGGAGCCTGAAATTTGAGGGGGGACACCAAGATTTGGGGGGGGACCCGGAATTTGGGGGGAGAACACGAGTTTGGGGGGGAACCCCAAAATTTGGAGGTGGCATGGCAAAATTTGGGGAGGGAAGCTCAAAATTTGGGGAGGGGACCCCAAATTTGGGAAGGGTTGGGAAGGAAACCCCCAAATTTGAGGGAACCCCAAAATTTGGAGGTGGCATGGCAAAATTTGGGGAGGGAAGCTCAAAATTTGGGGAGGGGACCCCAAATTTGGGAAGGGTTGGGAAGGAAACCCCCAAATTTGAGGGAACCCCAAAATTTGGAAAGGCGTGGCTCACACGCAAAGGGGCGTGGCTCTCACTTAAAGGGCCAGCACAGTTTTATGATAGGGGGAGGGTGGATCTGAGTTGTGGGCGTGGCTCAATTAAAAGGGGCGTGGCTCTCCCTTAAAGGGGCGTGGCTCCCTTAAAGGGGCGTGGCTCACCCAAAGGGGCGTGGCTCTGATTTAAAGTGACACACTCCTTTATAACAGGGGCGTGGCTCTCCCTTAAAGAGGTGTGGCCCTCATTTAAAAGGACACGGCCATCCTTTAAAAGGGCGTGGCCCTCCCATAAAAGGCCATGACTCCCTTAAAAGGGCATGGCTCTCAAAGGGGCGTGGCTCCCCTAAAGGGGTGTGACTCAAAGGGGCGTGGCTCTCCCTTAAAGCGCCCGCGCTCCTTTATAACGGGTGTGTCTCTGAGTTGTGGGCGGGGTTTTTCCCTGTTTTGGGGGGTGGGCGTGTCCCTGAGCCCCTCCCCTTAAAGGGGCGGTGTCGCGCAGAGCGGGCCCCGCCCGGGCGGGTGCTGAACACGCGGGCCATGAAGGAAATGTACCGGAGCTACGTGGAGATGCTGGTCAGCACCGCCCTGGACCCCGACATGATCCAGGCCCTGGAGGACACCAACGGTGAGCCCCGCCCCCCCAGGGACCCCCCAAAACTGCCCCGGCGCCCCCTGCATGTTGT